ATATGAAAAATCAATTCTTGAAAATCTTGTAAGAAATAATGGTGAATGCACAGGGTTTTTGATGTGGTTTTCAGTTTTTTGTATGACATGTATTTTTAAACCCACAAAAAGGTCAAAATATGTGTATTCCCTCTTGGTATTTAATGAAGGTCAAATGCCTCTTATTGAATATAATAAAACTGTAAATAGCATTACTTCTCTTGTTGGGGCCATCAACAATATTCAATATTCAGAGATTTTTCTGTTAAAAACAATATGAACTACTGAACAGTAATATTGCTTCAATCTACTGATTTCTGACAACTCCCTCTGGGTGATCATTTGGCAACAAACTATGACTCGGTACCAATAATAGATGAAAATTTCCCTTCTCCTTCCAGTTAAAGGCAAATACATAACCTACTCAAGGTTTGTAAAAGCCTTGAAAGTCCTTGAAGGTGCTTGAATTTAAAAATAAAAAATTCAAGGCCTTGAAAGTACTTGAATTTGAGGACTGGGGCTTGATTTTTTTCAATGCTTTTTCTAAGCAATCTTCAAGTTGAAAATAACAGTACTTTCATTGAAAAGCTGAGAAAGAATATTAAATGATTTCAAAATTGCTTATGCAAACCTTTCCAAAAGTGGTCCTTTAATTTTCTAAAACTTGGCTTTCAAAGTCATTGAAAAGTCCTTGAATTTCAACCCTTAGATTCTGTAGTAACCTACTCCTATATAGTAATATATTATTTTGATTGTTATCTAGTACCATAACAACACTCATTACACTCCAGCAAACAAAAATAAACACAAGTAGACTTATTCATGACCGCCAAAGACGGAATTGCGTGACGACAGTAACAATGGCAATATGGCAGTCCCCTTAAGATAACTTCAGATGTGCGATATTGAAAGCCCGAGTTCACGCAGCTATGCGTCTAGTTTGACTTTAAAAAGGGTCAATTTTTGACATTAATAGTTTATATTACTAAAAACTGTTAAATCTACATTAGATTCAGCAGTATTGCGCCGAATTATGTGGCTTATGGCCTTTCCGAGGAACTTAGCTGAGGCTTGTTTCAGTCGATGTTATTTAGTGTCGACACGCCACCAAATACTATCTAACATCGACCGAAACCGAACCGGATCTCTGCAGTGGTTCTGAAAAAAAAATTAAATAAAAATTCAAAAAAACATAAATAAAATAAATCGAGCAAGAGTGTGTTTATTGCTGTCCTTAGAGTCTCAAACAGTTGTATTTCAGCTTTTTCGACTTTCAGCTTAAAAAGGTCGGAAATTA